CTCTAATCGTCTTTCTACCCCCACCATTGCCACCAGCGGTCCATTCTAGATGTCGATGGTGGCACCCAGTTGGACACGGCTCAATTGGACACGAGCCACTCACAGCGCTTGAGACTACAAAGTTCCTAGGCACCGATCGCTGTGATTGGTGGTGTCCAATCGAATCGTGATCAATCGGGATCACCCCACCCTGCATCACATGCACAGTGGCGCTACAGTAGCCATACTGTGTACCAATACAGTGTACCGGTACTGTACGCACATACCTGACAGATACGGTATCGGAATACATATGGTCTGTTTTCTGTTCCTGCACTAGACTGTTCTAGAACTCTCTTTCTCGCTTTAAACAAATATCAAACGTATATCTTTCTCACTTTAAGTTCCAAAAGTGTACACTAGTTTAGCCACAGAAAACAGACCATAATACGCCGTACGCTCACCGTACCAATACCGTGGAGGTATTTTGCTAACTGGGTACGAGTAAACTGCGATGATTGGTAAAAAAAGCAGATAGGTTGAGCGGGACATTAAGCGGCGTCTACAATGAGATCTTAAGATCTAAGATTTAAGCTTTAAGCCATAATTTGTGACGTCATTTCCGTCCGTAAGGCTTTCCCGCCAGTACTTAAAGGCCATGGCACATAAAAAAACTGAAGGCGTAAGAGCCCAGACACAAGCTTTTGCATAACGCATAACGCATAGTGCATAAGAGAATCAACCAATCGAAATTCTTCTTTTCCATGGAATGGGAGGAAAGGAAAGATTCTGATTAGTTGATTCGTTTATGCACTATGCATTATGCTTTATGCAAAAGTCTGTGTCGCGGCCTTTCGACTTAAGCAGTAAGCGAATCGACCAATTACAATAGAGACCGTAAGACCATACGTAAGCAATAGCGAAGGGTATGAGCACAAGAATTGCCGTAACGCTTTACGGCAGTCTTAAGTTGTAGACGTAAATAACGCACAAGCATTGGCAATGCCTATGGCAATATACATAAGTTAAAGTCATACGCCAATCCTTGTGCGTTACTTACGTCTACAACTTAAAGCGGGGAGCACAGACTCTTGCATAACGCATAACACGTAATGCATAAGAATATGT